AGTGCTAAGACAGCATATGTCTTTGGTTGGGTTTCTTTTGCAGTAGACCCTGAGGTAAGGATTTGAAGAAAAGCAATTTTATTCGGGGGTGAGCCTAGAAGACAGTGGTACAGGAGTGGGCGCTTGAGATGGACAAGGGAAGGAAAGCCATATGACATGTGCCATTGAGCACATCGCTGGGGTGGATAGCTGCAGCTCAGGCCCACTGGGAACTCTGCGAGACAGAGGGGAGCACACCTCAGAGCTTCCCCCACCCAAGGGGTGAGTTAGCTGGGGCTCTTTATCCTCCAACTCCACTCACTCTCAGCGGTTCCTGGGTGCCTTATCCAATAACTCCAGCCTTCTCACTTGGGGGGAAAAGTCCACATGTGGAGAGTCACAAGCATGTGTGGAAGGATGCTGATGTGTGAGTTGAAAAGTTGAGTGCCTGAGAGGTTAGGCGAGGCTTTAACCACACCTGAATCAGCATATTATAGGTGCCTTTAACCTAAGTTGGGGTGTTAGCTAAACCCTTCCAAATAAGTAGCTTAAAACTTGAGACAAAAAACAACAACAAACCAACAACAACAACAACAACAACAACGCACACACACACACACACACACACACACACACACACACTCGTTGGGGTAAGAGTGTTCCAGGTAATAGGATCAGTATGTGTGAGGGCCCAGAGGCAGGAAGAACTTCACCCATTCAAGGCCTGTGTATGTGAGGCTGATGAGGCAAGCAGGGCCTCAGGGTGCAGAATTGCATGAATCCAGTTCTCACCGATTTAAAAAATATTGCTTTTTTCCATGATACCTATGCTTCACATTGAAAGGTAACATTTCTATTTGATATCTTGACATCTTTTCTCCCTTCTGCCCTCCTCTTTCTTTAAAAATATTTCCTCTTTATATTATTCAAATGCACTCTCCATCCTGCACTTAAAACATTTTTAAGTATATTTTTATTGACTTGAGAGAGAGAGAGAGAGAGAGAGAGAGAGACATCAGTGAGGAAAGAGAATCATTAATTGACTGCCTCCTACACGTCCCCCCTGAGCATGTGCCCTGAGCAGGAATCAAACCGTGACCTCCTGGTTCATAGGTCAACACTCAACCACTGAGCAACACCAGCTTGGCCCACCCTGCACTTCTGAAAGCCTTTTCCTTTTATTCACAAGCAACGGATGCTGTTATTTTTAATTAATGAATTAAAAATTTATTTGAAAAGATTTTAATTAAGTTCATTGGGATGACATTGGTTAATAAAATGATTCAGGTTTCAGATATACAATTCTATAACACACCATTTGTATACTGTATTATGTATTCACCGCCCCAAGTCAAGTCTCCTTCCATCATCATTTATCCCCATATTTTAATAATAACATCCGGGCTTGGTAGGTATGAGCACCCCCACTTTACAGCTGAGGAAACTGAGGCTCAGAGAAGGGAGGCAACTTCTCTGGGCTTACACAGCCTGTAAGATGTTGGTTCCAGACTCAAAAGCAGCTTTTAAAGGTTGTTCTACGCAACACTAGTACCCAGCACGGTGCCTGGCGTGAGTGGCTTCCATCTGAAACACTGCGGCTTGTTTGGATTCTGCCTCAGGAGCCTTCAGGCGTTCTCCTGCCTCTTCTGTTGACTGGCTGACCAACGATACCATCTGATGTTTGATGTGCTCCACTCCTCCCCAGATTCATTGAAAAACATTACTTTCTGTTCTTTTTAGGGTGACTGCGCACGATTCAGGTAGATTATATCTCTTTATATAGATGAGGAAAGTGGGATCTGGGGAAGGGACCTGTGCCTGAGGGCGGAAGAGCATCTGCTGTCTGTGTTTGCCATGGCCCCTTCTCATTCTGCTAATGACATCTTGGTTTTCCTTTGAAGAGGCAGCTAGGTTTTCCTGACAAAACACAGGGCACTCCGTTAAATTTGAACTTCAGATTCAACAACAACAATAACAACAAAGTAAAAAATGTTCAGTATAAGTATATCTCAAATTCAAATTTAACTGGGTATCTTGTATTTTTGTTTGTCTCACTTGGCAGCCATAACACCTCTTGGCTTAAAGGATTAAGGTGGGACTGAGCTGCAGGAGTGGGCAGGGGGTCCAGGAGTGGGCAGGTGACCCAATCTTGGCTGATCACTGCATTCTATCCCTCTGAGTCACAGAGGTTTGTTAAGAGATGGGACTATGACCCGAGGCAGTCAAATGAGCTTCAGTTATTGAAATCTGGCAAATACCATAGAAGAAGAGATTCCCTCGTTTTGTTGGAGTTGCTGAGCTGTGAAAGGTAGGCCCTGGGGCCCAACAAATGAGATTCTGCTTGAAGAATGAAGGAGAGAGAGAGAGAGAGAGAGAGAGAGAGAGAAATGAGAGAGAGAGAATGAGAGAGAGAATGAATGAATGAATGAATGAGAGAGAGAGAGTAACCCTTAAAGGTATACTTGGGGGCCCTGGGATCAGCCTCATTGAATTTTACCTTCATCTAGATTCCCGAATGTTGATAGAACAGTTGAGGACTGTTCTGATGATGGTGCAATGAAAGATATCAGCCATAGTGTGATGGAGTTGAAAGCAAGGCCTTCCGTAGTGATGATTATGGGAAAGATCCACTTAGTCAAGGTGGTGGCTGAAGGGGTGATGGAGTAGAATGTTGTGCAGATTCTAGGGGAGGATGTGTTCTTGCTGGCGAGAGCTCGTCCAGGGTGCTACTGATGCTGCTGATAATGAGGATGAGGATGTGTTGATGAAGATGAAAATGGTGTTGGTAAAGGAGAATAACATAACTGGGAAAACAATATTCTCAACCCCAGCCTAGCACCAAGTCCTATCAGTTCCACCTCCCCTCCCCAATTGAAAATATCTATTCACTTCACTCCCTGTCCACTGCGGGCACTGTCCTATCCTAAGCCACCAGCATCTCTTGCTGCTTCTACTGCAATGTTCTGCTTGCTTCCCTTCCTGACTCCCTACAGTATATGCCAGTGTGAAGGTAGGTTTTTACAAATGTAAATTAGAACATTTAACTTCTCTTCTCAAAGCCATTCAAGTGACTTAGACTAGGACCCAAACTCTTGATTATAACCTTAAGCCCTGTAGGACCTGGTCCCCACCTGTACCCCATTCCTCATAATCTTAATTCTCTCTACTTGCTCTTCTATAACTATTATTGTGATTATTCTTCTTTCAGTTATTCACATAAGCCCTCCTCTAGGCATGAAATGCCTTTGCATCTTGCATTTCTCAGCATCAGGGTCACTTTCTGGATTCTGAATCTAAATGAGACCTCCCCTATGTCACTTTCTCTCACAGTTCCTTGTTCTAAGCATGTTAAGAACATAATGATTCTCTCTCCAATTCATCAACTTTTGGGTCTTGGCACAATGTTTTCTTTTAAAATATATTTTTATTGATTTCAGAGAGGAACGGAGAGGGAGAGAGATAGAAACATCAATGATGAGAGAGAATCATTGATTGGCTGCCTCCTGTACGGCCCCCACTGGGGGTTGAGCTCGCAACCTGGGCATGTGCCCTGACCGGGAATTGAACTGTGATCTCTTGGTTCATAGGTCAATGCTCAACTACTGAGCCATGCTGGCCAGGTGGCACAATGTTTTCTTAAGAATGTGTTGGAGGAGTGCCAAGATTTTGATCTCTTGGTCGTAAGGTGGTGATGGTGGTGGTGATGGTAGTGATGGTGATGGTAGTGATGGTGATGATGGTTGTGATAGTGGTGGTGATAATGGTAGTGATGGTGATAGTAGTGATGGTGATGATGGTAGTGATGGTGATGATGGTAGTGATGATGGTGGTGATGATGGTAGTGATGGTGAAAGTAGTGACGGTGATGGTGGTGATGATGATGATGGTGATGTTGTTGGTGATGGTAGTGATGGTGGTGGTGATGATGGTAGTGATGGTGAAAGTAGTGATGGTGATGGTGGTGGTGATAGTGATGGTGATGGTAGTGATGGTAGTGATGATGGTGGTGGTGATGGTAGTGATGGTGATGGTGATGATGGCAGTGATGGTGATGGTGGTGGTGGTGATGATGATGATGGTGATGGTGGTGGTGATGGTAGTGATGATGGTGGTAGTGATGGTGGCAGTGATAATGCTGAATAAGGACATTGGTGGGAGAAACAATCGACTAGGAGGACCTGGCCTACACCATCGCTTTAATAAACTTTTAGGAAAAACAAGGGTCTGCCTTTTCCTGCTGTGGCCAGCCTAGAAAATCAGCTGAAGGTGATTGGAGCTGCGGTGAGAGGCTACTGAGGATTATCTGTAAGCCTGGGGGCTGTGAGGCCCACAGCGCCCCTTCTTCTTACTCCCTCAGTTTGTGGGAGGCCACCTTCCCTCCCCTACACCGCCCAGACTCCCCACACAGAGAAGGAGGGGGTGCACCGTGGGGTGGGGAGCAGGAGCTGTGGAAGGGCGGGCGAAGGAGGACTCCTTGACACACGGGAGGGAGGGAGGGGGGAGGTGAGGAGGAGGTGTAGGGAGAGTAAGGAAGGCTGGGGTGGAAAGGGAGGGCAGGGCCGAGTGGGCAACGCTGGGGGTTCTTGGAGAGTGAGGTGGGGGTTGGAGGGAGAAGGGCCTGGGGAAGAAGTGCGGAGAGGGAAGAGTGTGCGCTTGGGCTGGTGGGAGTGTGGTCTGAGGGAGCAGGTGAAACTCTGAGGGGCGGAGCCAGGGAC